AAGCGCTGTGCATGGTACCTGAGCCTCTCATCAAAGGTTCTTGGAGCCATGGCAGAATCAAGCAGTATAAGGAGAATTGAGACTAGCCTCAAAAGGCAAATATTTGGTGATGAATGCGAGCTGTTGCAGAACTGCCCCATTTCACTGCAACATTCATCTTCCGCCATATCTAGCATCATTCCCTATGATATATAACTATCGCACCAAAAAGCTGCAGAGTGCTTGTCAGTTGCAGATCAGCCTTTGCTACAAACTGGATGATCCAATGGATGATGCTTAGTAAACACATGTCAACACCTTTCCCATCCTTTCCCCCGAAGAGTGATTACCCTTTACCAAGTTTTCTCGGGTTAATGGGATAATATATACATAGCTAGCTTTTCACATATGCATATGTTCACGGGAAAACACACACACACACACACCCAGCCTGTGGAATTGGGAAAACGGAGTATGCCTTCGAAGTATTGTTCTCCATGGAACCTGCGCCTCTCAGAGTCCGATACGTCTCAGGCCCGTGCGACCGAACCGAACTGGATAGACAAACAAAATGAGAAGAAACACCATGTGGGCACACGATGTTGCTTGGAGTAAAACAAACATATTCACCAAATTTCACAAACATCACCCAACAAAAACAAAAAACAACAGGCAGTTACAAGCATCAGGCAGCCATTGAGGGTGTTTGATGCACTTTGGGGAACACTGCTGTGTGCAACTTGGCTTCAAAGTCATCACTTTTCCACGAAGATGGGGCACTCCTTGGATACTCGCGCGGAGGCGTCTTGGGCCCCTCTGCGCTCATGCGCGACGTCAGGAGAAATCCTCCGTTTCGAAGGGTGGGACGTGGCTGGGTGGGTGGTCTTGGGGGATCCAAACAAGCACCGATTCTGATGGGAGCGGAGGTCTAGGAGCCCGGGTGCAGGGTGCTATTCAATGGTCTTCTGGAAGCTTTAAAGGATCCGCCCCCCCAAAAAAAAGACTTGATGCATCTTGTTTCAAGCTTTGAAGCTACAAAACCACCAAAAAGGCCTTTCCAAAACTCTTGACCCACAAAGAGGTTGAAGCTTTATCGACGTCTATCAGATCCGTCTCCGAAGTCCCTTCACTTCTTCTCTCCTCCAGGTGGCCCACTTGCATGAGTTGCTCTGTGGCCATCTGGAAGACATCTTTGCAATAGCCCAAGGAGGTCCAGCCCATGGTCGAAGGATCAATACCTGAGTCCGAAAAAACCCAACCTCTGAGACCCTCCCAAGGAGTCTGGCTGATAGTGGCACGCACCGGAAGTCGGTGAGCGGCGAGGTCGACCGATGCGAGATGCAGACTGTGGGGAATGCAAGCAGGTTACAAGCAAGAAACCACTGGACACTTGTTAATGCAAGCAGGCTACACACACAAACAAACAAACAAGCCTTGTAAAAACATGTTTGTCCCTACTGCGCTCCATGGTGCCCAACAGCTACCCTGGCAGAACACATCAGGGATGGTTCCAAAATTCTCAGACTCTCAGCAGCTCTCGACTCTCAGCTGCTGAACTGCTGCCGAACTGCTGCCGTTCAATTGATGTGCCGAATCCTTCAGCTTTTGAAAGGCCTCGCCGACGTTCACCTCCTGAACGTCACGAGGTGAACGTAGGGGGGGAAGGCTACAGGAGTCCAACCTAAGAGCGATGACCTCCAACCTAAGAGCGATGTATTCCGCCAGTAGTCACATGATCTATCACAGATCAGCGGCATGCGCGAATTCCTCCCACACCACTCTCCTTGCCGTTGAGCAAAGGATGGCCAAAATTCTTCCGGGATGCCTCAGCTTTCGCCGGACCCACGAGCTGGAATGCTGGCTATGCTGCTGTGCCCAGTCTGTCTGTTTAAAACGTGTCTGCTGAAGATTCTTCAGCATTAAACAACTCAATGTCTGGCCCCGGGCTCCAGCTGGCTAGCTCCAAAAACGAGCAGGGTTGCACAAAAACCTATCACAAATCACAAGTCAAAGGGCTGGAGCCCTTTGACTTGAATTTTGGCACGTGTGAATCCAACAGTGGTTGAGTGATTGGTTGAGTGGACGTACCGTCCAGACCAAAAGTCCCATCTTTGAGGATAGGTGTAAAGGAGCATTATTGTTAATCAAAGTTGAAAGCGGAAACAACACAGACAAACAAACAAACAAACAAACAACCAACCAACCAACCAACCAACCAACCAACCAACCAAACAAACAACACAAACAAACAAACAAAAAACAAAAACAAAATAAGCAAAACAAAGCAAACAAAGCAAGCAAACAAACAAACAAACAAACAAAACAACACATAAACAACACCGATACACCTATAATATATATATATATATATTGTTGACATGGTGCCATCGACAGAAACAAGTTGGATGACACAGGACGAAACTCCAACATGTCCCGCACGATCTTACTCCTGTGTTCTTGGAAGAACCTCCAGTAACCAACCCACCCACACACACACACCCTCCTCTCACCCTCCACCTTCTTGCTGCCCAGTCCGGTCCTCCAAACACCATTCTCTGCTTCCCTCAAACGTCGTTGCCCAACCAAACCTCGCCGACTCGACTCAGCGTCACGCCTCGATCGATCACTGTCTTGAGTCTCGATCCGCCGCGACGAGTACCGACGAGGACCGACGAGGTGCGAGGATGTCCACCTTGGTGTTGCACGGGACCTCCCCAAAGCGCGCCAAGCGCCCGGAAGAGAACTCGGGATCCACCCACAGCACGCGCCTGATCCGGTTTCAAGCAAGCGGCTGAAGCAAGGGGATCGAAGAGGGTGGTTGGTGTTCAAGAACAACATGAAATCGCAAGAAACAACACGTGCTTCTGTTTGTCTGTGTATGGCTTGGGTGTGGTTTAAGAACATGTTAAATGTTTAAACATTGATCTCAAATTGACTTGGTTCTCATGGTGCCCAATCGCAAATGAATGAGATGGGGCTTCTCGCCCCGTGACGGGGCGAGTCCCATCCTGACACCACAAGAGAGTTTGTGGCTTCAAGGCTGGGCTGGCAAATCATGAGGAATGCAGCAAATGATCGGCATATGAGGCAATGTCCGAGCTTTCCAGCCTGCCCCGTGCCCGCAAGGCCACAACAGCAGAGATCCCTGCCGGTCCTGCAGCTTTTGGCTCATGTGTATCTGTGGGGGTTCACCACTTGAAGGACGCACTTCATCTCCACTTGGTATTGGAATCAGAAGAATGTTCCAAGACCGGGTTACTTGTTTTTATCAACTTGACTTGGGGTCTATACTATATATATATAGTTACAAAACAGAAACAACATTGTGTTCAACTATCCTGGGCTAAGCATGTCTCACGCATTATCTTCCATTAATTAGTTTTAGTTTTAGTTTTTGTTTTTAAATAATATTGTCTTATAATGGTCTTCTTTCTTATACCATTTACTGTAGTACACTGTCATGTGGAACCTTTGCCACACACCTGCTATTTCCCACCACTTCCAACAATCCCCATTTGGTGCGCTGAACTCAAAACCGGATGGATGGGGCTCCAATCGCCCAGGGGCCACCGTGGGGCCGACCCGGGCAACCGACCTAGTAGGCCATGGGGTCTCGGAGCCACGCGGGTGACGTGCCCGAAGTGATTCATGCCATCCCAGCAAACACATGGCGGTCCAACACACACCTCGTGTTGGTCGTGTGGGTCGAGCGAGCCGCTAGTCTTCCGCGAGAATCAGCCCGAATTCAGCGGGCTGTCGGGCGGTCCTGCACCCACCACCAGCACCTCCGTAGAGATGGGAGTCGGCGCTGTAAGCCATCCGCAACAACTGGAGACACCTGCTGTTTCTAAAAAGGACGTGCGCTCTTTCCGTGTTAAGACTTGGTCTAAAACATGGCGTCACGGAGTATTGGGATGGTCCTTTTTTACATTTCGCTTTGGGGTTGAGTTCATGTCGATTTAAACGTGCAAAACCATAACACTGAATCATGCATGTGCTTCCTCCACAAGTGACATAGCAACCTACTCATTGGTTGGGCAATGATTCTTTTGTGCCAGGCCTTTGTTACTATGCTTTCTGATATACAGAATAATTAACTTATATATATACCAGGAGTCACAAAGGGGTGTCCAATGAAGTACCCCACACTACCTATAGGCTTCCATTGGGCACCCCTTGGAGGGTCCTGGTATATATTGGTTCTTCGATGTTCTTCGGTATGCTGCCTTCCACTCTCAATTTGTGAACCCAGCCTCCCATCGCTGCCGGACAGCACAGAAGAAGCCCCAAGAAGACAGCACGTGGCTATGCAGGTGGCTACGAGTTTTGTCTATGTATGTTTTTAGTTGATAACACATCGACATCATTCAGTCTGCTCGCTTGCGATTGCACCCTCGCTTCTCAACATGCTCGTTGGTCCGGTCCTCTTCACATGAAGCCTCCCAATTCCGAACTCTGGAAGTCAAAATCAACGTCCAGGCTAAATGAGGCTTTCCTTGCGGACTAGATGAACTTCTTTTCTTTGCTCTCGAGCCAAGGCTTGGTCACGTGGATCCGAGCGGATGATGACCAAGGACCATAAGCCATGCGATTCCCGCTTCCCGCTCACGTCCATGCGATTATTTGTTCTGCCACGGCTGACCGATGCTGACCAATGCCACAGCCCTTAAAGTCACAACAACAACAACAACAACAACAACCCCTATGGATCCAAGTATCTTCTCAGAAGGTGCTTGGACCCTCCAAAACTACGTAACAGTGTCTCCAATCACCGTACCTGAGGTTCGGTACGACTGGATCCCCTATACGGAACAACAACAACAGCTCCGTATCGTCCAATCACCCAGCATCCCCAGACCTCGTCATCCTTCTGGTCTCCAAGAGAAAACACCAGCACCCCCCCCCCCAGGCAATCCATCCATCGTCGGGCGACCCGGAAGACTCTCTGACTGCGTCTCACGAACTGACCCTTCGTCAAGCTCAGGAGCGAAGACAGGAACACTTCGTCTCACTACCCTCGCCTCAACAGAAACTCCGCCAAAGCCTGTCCCACTCGATGCTTCCCATCCTGCCGAGTCCGGAACCGCCCACGGGTTCGTGGCGGGGGCAGAGTGCCGGGACGGGTGCGGCGCCGGTCGGAGACCGTCACCCCAAGCACCAAGACCGGAGGAACTGGCACTGGTGAGGACACCAATGCCATGGTCGGAGAAGCTCAACCCCCATCCGTGTTCTTGTCTGTGGGCAAAAGGACAAGGAACACCGCCTCTCGTCGGAGAGTCCACAGCGCCGAGAGTCATTCGTCGGGATGGCAGACTGAGGACCAACAGGGCTCGGAGAGGGAGAGTGAATCACTGGTTGCAACCCTCTGGCGGAATGGATGTCGATGTGATCAACTCCATGCCTGTGAGGGACGAGTACGTTGTCAATTCCAAGTATCGTTTGAAGTGAGTGATTACTCCTATCTGACCCATCCAGTAAAGGAAACAGCACAACTGCAAGACTTCTCTCGCTATTGAAGTCCCATACATGTCAACTTTGGAGAGTTCATGTAATGTAGACCCCAAACACTCCATGTATGCATATGTATGCTATATATGCCTACATTGGGGGGTCAATGTAGGCATATATATGGCAGTCGCATTAGTCGTCTCTGGGTTCTACACCCAATTTCATTTCACTGAACTTCAGTCAACAAACCTCCCCTCCCCCACGCGCGCACGTGGCCGGCGTTGGGCATATATGAACACCCCGTTCGCTTGGTCCAAAAAGGGTCCAAACCGGCAGGTGGTGGGCGGTCCCCGGGCACCGCTCCTGGAACATGGTAAGCGCCTCTCGCGACGTGCGCTCGGCCTGCTTGGCATCTTCTTGCCTAGCGCAAGAGTGCAAGCAGGTCTGGGTCTGGTCTGTTGAAGGATTCCAGGATTCCTGCACATGCCATGGGTTTTCCCACTTTTTGGCCGGTTGCTTTGAAATTCTATCCTTCACCAGGAATACTTCTGGGAATTTCTGGGGGACATCTGCAACATCTTCTCGTGCAGCACAAGAACTTTCATCAGCCTGAAACAAACAATTGGGAGCCTGGCCTGCTCCACCATCTTCCACCCCAGACCAAAACCCACCACCCCTCCAATCCTCCAAAAAATCACCTCCACAACCCACGCCCACCCGGCATAGTGGATAAGCGCGCGCTTTGCCGGATTTGCATGCGCATGTTTGGTACGTATGGAGGGCGTATCGATCCGGGTTCGGGCGTCAAGTATGGGCCTCAAGTATGCCAAGGTCAAGAGGCTGCTGGCAAAGCCTTGGCCCACTAAGCAGCCCTGGAAAGCCTCGAAGGACTCCTTGGCCACTGGGAGCGCCTCAGAGATGACACAGATGACACGGCTGGATGGATGGATGATCCAACCGGATGGCATGTCAAACCCAAGTAGATCCCAGTTACCTCGATCTATCTACGGAACCAGGGGCCCTCGTTTGGTCGCGAGGTCGCCGCGTTTGGTTGGAGGATGTTTGTCGATGATGGAGAGGTTTGGGTTCTTTAAGTCATCTTCCTTTCGCAGTCGTCCCATGTGACTCCCAACTCCGCATCTCCAAGAAGCAGAAGCTGTGGAGGAAGCCAGTTGAGCTTTGGCCAAGGAAACCAAGGCCAAACCTTCGCCCAGGGGATCTCCTCAGACTGCCCCAGGATCAGGTAGGAAGAGCGACCAGGGCACTGCCAGGGCCAGTGGGCAAGTTCTTGCCCCGAAAATCGGGGGGGAAACCACATGTTCCACGCTCAAAGCACTGATCGGGTATCTTCGGCAACCTTGCCCGATGTTCGAGGAAAGGGCCCAAACTGAGAAGACCACGAAGCCAACCAACCGATGATCCGACCTCCAGTTCACCCTCCACCCATTGGTGCCCAGTCTCGTCCTTTCCCGCGCGGCCGTTTCGGTAGTGATAGTGGAGAGTCTATCCGATAGGTACCTCAGGTTACGGGTCCTATATCACCTCTGTTGGAGAGTCTATCCCATAGACCTTCAACAAACCCAGCTGTTCCTAGCTACTTCGACTCTCCCACAGGAGGACCTCTAACCTGTAGGTCGTACCCATAGGCCTACCACGAACTCCGACAGATTCCGACACGTTAGAGGTCCAGACTAGTGCTAAAAGAAACGATAACTGAACCTCTCTTGGCCAAGTCTCTCAAGGTTCCGAAGAGTTGCTTCGCCTCTGTGGCCTTCGCTTTGGCCTCGTCTTCCTCGCTGCTCGCGCTCACCAGCAGCAAAGCACGAGCGACGCCCTCCTAGGAGCTGTGCAAAAAAAAAGGGGGTACCAAGGAACGCGTGAAGCTACATGCGATGAGCACTTGTTTGAGGCAAGCTTGAGGATGAAGCCATGGTTTTTCTCTTTTTTTCTCACATGTCCCCCCCAAACACACCTCTTTCAGAAGACCATCACCGAATCCGGTTTGAATCAGTTTGCCTCTTTTGCAACTGTTTTAAAGACCAACTGTTTGGGCCCACACATTCGAGGACCGGTTTTCCTGGACAGCTGTGTTTTCCATATAGCAACCTCCGCATAGAACCGCGAGATGTGTTGTAAGGAGAGACAGGTCTAAGACATGTTGTCGCGGTGCTTCTCCGTCAACATCCACCAACTGGATACTCTATCAGCTCTTTGAGCCCTTGATGTAGACATAAAACACTCCATAGCTCCCATTATTTGGATTCAACAACCCCTTCACATGGGTTCTTGAAGAGTCTACATGCAAAGGTCTTACCCAATTACAAGGCGTGTGTGACTTCGAATGCCCTTCCCTCAAAGCGAGTCAGGTGAGTGCGGTCGGGTTGCAAAGGCAATGCCACAGCTGCGAATGGGTTGAAGTGAGTGCGGAAGGATGTAACACAAAGCTCCAACAGTGCGAGCTTTAAGAACTGACCTGCTTGATTGCAAGGTTTCTGTGTATAAACAGATTGATTGGTTGCATCATTTTGCATCATCTGTATATAATCCTCTGATCCTGGATGCAAGTGGGGTACAGTGTGTGCGTGTGTCCGTGTACCAAACAACTGTAGGCACAAACGGAAGGGATCACAAAGGTCTGGGAATCTAGGCCACACCACCAAAGTTCAACAGATTATATATATAGGGCTGTGACTAGGGCTGTGATGGGCTGTGCAATGTCCAAGGCACTTTCACTCCACGCTTTCGTTCCTTCTCCAGCAAGTCCTCACAAGGCACAGCATGTAATAGGTCAGGAGCTTCTCTACAGCATCCACTGTGTTCAAATAGCCCAGTGCAAGACTTTTGGCGGCAAACATGGTTTCTCAGAGTCGGGTATATCAACACCCAAATAGATAGAAGATCGTAAATCCACACTATCATATAAGAATGAATGTATTGGAAAACGTGCCTATCTACTATAGACTATATAAACCAATATTATAGACTAGAGTGTGGTTTTTGTTTCGGAGCTTCATTGACCTCCACGCCCGCAGGACACTCGCGCGCGGAGAAGCTGAGCCGATCTCCCAGCGACCCTCATCTCCTGCGCGGCCTTCAGGGCGGAGACCGGCTTTCCGATCGCGAAGCTGATCTCTTGGAGGGCTCCCAGCAGCAAGATCTGCCCATCCTTGGAGTGTGCGAGGATGGACCGAGGATGGACTGAGGATGACTTGAAATCAAGAGAAAACCACCAAAACTCACAAGGAAAAACCAATGTATATATGGACACTCCCTAGGCGAAGGGCTCCTGTCCCCATCTCAGGTTCGGTCTTCGACCCCTGATCCACCCTACACCGAAACGGAGGGGACAGCCAGAAGCCCATAGGGACCGATCGCCACCGGTGGGACGGAAAGTGACTCCATCTCACCCACCCGCCACGTCCAGCCCCAGAGCCGCGGAAGGTCAGCGGCGGAACGTTCCTGCTTGAACAACCTGTCACTATAAGAACAAGGACACTACTAGGGGCTCCTGGCCGTACTAGCGGCTCAGCGGCGGAACGTTCCTCCTTGGAGCTTGAACCTGTCACTCACCGGAGCAGCCGGAGAGCAGGGCAGACGGTCGCCTACCAAGCGGTCACTCTAGACATCTGGGTTCGACCTTCAGCAAGCTCTTTGAAGTCTAGCAACCTCTTGTGATCCTGACATGATCATGCCTAGATAATTTTATTATGAACAACATCCAGTTCTTGAATTCTCCGCTGCACCGGCTTCACCCCATCATTCGGGGTCTGGTCCCGCCGTTCCGAAGCCGCCGCCGCCGCCAAGCTGTTCGTACGCGTTGACGTCTTCGCGACCGCCTCGGCCGAGCGTCTGCATCTTTGAGCGACTTCAAGGCCGTCTCCACCTTGCGCTCGGCGGGGCCCTGCTCATCGTTGGCCAAGGAGGCCAATGCTGTGCAGCCATCGGCCTTGGGGTAGGGTCAAGGTGCCCGGGTCGCTTGGGAAAAAAGTGTCTGTTGGCCATCTGACCCCCACAGCTTTCCTGGAAATTAGAGGTTACACCTTTTTCACCTGTTTGATTTGAGTAGGAAACCAATCCCAAATTGGTTACCCACCGACTGGACAGGACATATATGATTGGCAGTCTTTGCAAGGTTGGCATGTGTGAGTCTGGTTCCTAAACGATGAAAACGTCGCCACGTCCTCATTCCCATTCCAACCATGTCAAAAAGTCTTCGTTTCGTTCATGATTGCTTCAACTGACTCCAAAGTAGGTTGAACTGGCTCCAAAGTCGCTTGAGTTGGAGTCACCTGACCCCCCCAAAACCCCCCCACCACCGCCCTGGACTCCTCCCAAGCAGACTCCGTCCCGGGACGATCCCGACCAAGCTACATGGACCAACCATTGGGCCTCCAGGTGCGCAGGACCCATCCCCATACACTCCCCAGGTGCGGGGCCCTGAGAAAATCCTGAGAAGAAGACACCGTGTTCTTCCTACACCCCCCCAGATCACTATATGGAACATGAACAGAATGGACTATGTACTGGGGGGCTCAAGCTATCAAGATCTATCAAGGGTTCAGGGTTTTTCACGGCCACCAGTCTTCAGCAAGGAGCCCTTGGCCGAGTGGCTAAGGCCAGAATCACTGGATCTACCTTGGCTTCTTGGCAAATCCCTGCTACCTCCTCACAGCAGCGGAGGGCTTCATCGCTGTCGCTGCGCAGCCAGCAAGCGCTCATCATCGTCTGGAGCAAAGGCACCTGCGCAGCCGGCACGGAGGCGGCTTGATGGAGGAATTCTCGCGGAAAAGGACACTGACACCAAGCGGAAAACGACCAGATTTGACCGATAGGATCTGATAGGAAGAAACTATCCTCTTGCGATTACACCGGTGGAAGCACCAAGCAAATTCCTGCGATTGAATGCATCCGAGATCCAACAAATTTCTAGTAAGCTTGCAAAGTGGACAAAGGGATCAACATGCAAGGAAACCCTGCTTTGCATATGTTTGTGTTGTTTTCTTTTGCCGCAGCGACAAGCTGTGTGATCAACTTGGCCAGCTCTGCAAGGAACAACGTGAACAACGTGACAAAGCAAAACAGAAACAAAACAACACCGAGGGGCTCCAGGGGCTCAAGGCAGCATAGTGCAGAACATCCAGCATCAAACGTACCACAAAGCACTTTTAGTTACACACGAGTTAAATTACCACACGTTTCAAGCAAAACTACACAATCAAACACAGTAACCACACAAACAAGCTGCCATCCTTAGGAAAAGAACTGTCAAGTCATTTTTCAATATCCTCACCCAGTCCAGAACTCCTTTTTTTCGAACAATCCGTGGTCAACTTGCTTTCCAAAACCCGGGAGACTGAGATGAACCACAAACAAAGCATGGGAAAGCGTTGTAGAACGTGGATGTTGGTCTGGGGACACGCAACCCATCCATATGGACCACTCCATTTTGTGCGGGGATCTTTCAAAACTTCACCCGGGTGAAGAGACCTCCGAAGGTGGGGCCACGAAGGAAGGGCCGCAACGGCCCAGGGCCGCAACGGCCAGGCGTAGGCGACGGCTGCACCTCGAAGATCTTTTGCCCACCCATGGAGCGAAGTGCATAAAGACCCTGCGATGGCCGCGGAGATGGAGATGGAGGCGATGGAGCAACGGAGCTGAGACGTGCCACTGAGTGAAACACTGAGTGGAAACTCAGATGGTGATGGCACAGAAGGACAATGGCCGGATCATGGTCATGGTGGATAGTACTTGTGTGCCATTCCTCAATGATGAAATCGTCTGAAACACACCAACGAATGCAAAGCATGGACTTAATAGAGGATTTGTCTGGAACATATGACATATTGGTAAGTGGTGAGTGGGAATTCAAGCTAGCTTTTGGATTTTGTTGAAGAACCTCAAGGGATGGATAAGCTAGCTCCAAAGTGGCTCCCTCCGAGCCACACACCTCTATATAGCAACAAAATCAGGGATGCCATCTTTTGGGAGACGAGCAAACAGGTATAGGCCATGAAGTGATGGATTCGTGTGGGGTTGAGTTGGATGGCAGGTCAAAAAAGGCCAAGCTGGGATGGGTCAGCTTCGCAAAGACCAATGGCATCATTCAGCGACGAGTTCAGTGGCAAGCGATTCTGAATGATCGCTTAAGAAGCATGTGCTATGCACCAACAAAACGGTGCTGTCACTTTTGTACCCAAAGTGCCATGACAAGTTCTACCGAGGACTTTGAAGAATGCGAGTTATAAAAGAAGAGATCAACTGCTTAGTAGAGGTGTTCGGGCACGGACTCTGGGGGCTGCATCTGAACGACTCGGGGGCGATTGCATCCCGGTGTCCGACAAAAATGACCTCGGATGACTCGGATGCTTCCCTTTCACCTTCCAAAACCGAGGGAAAGCGAGACCGTGTTGGTTTCACGGAGCGTATGCACGGCCGCCTGTTTCGCGGCTCGCAGGGCATCTTTCCCATGGCCCATCAAGATGTGCACATTGGCCTCGGGTGGCTCCGCACTCGGCACGACGGCGACGGCACCGGGGACGTGCCGGGCACCAGGAGAGGAGAGGTTTTGGAGCGGGGCCGCGGGGCCACGGGGCCGCCTAGGTAGTTCGGTCTGGTACCGGTGTCGGGCGCAGAGTCGTGGGTGTTCAGCACATCGGTGAGATACGCCTACTTTCAAGAGAAGGTCCACTACACTGGTTACACTGCAGCTGGCTTGTGGATGCTGTGAGCTTTCGCAATAGTGTTTATTTTTTTTTGAGTGCTGAGTATAGGAACTTCCGGTTTCCCTAAACCTACTAGCATTGCCTTGAATGCCTTAATGCATGCAGCTCAATCTACCCGACTTCTCTGCAGAGATTTGTAGGGTAACCTATTCTCCCATCAAGGATATCCTGAGGTGCACTCAGCCAAGTTACTCACCCTCCCTGAATCATGACAGGCTTCGGTGGCTGCAGCCACCTGGGCCCTTCTTCTCACCCTGTTTGAAGCGCCCCTGCCTAACGCTAGAGTTCTGTGAATCTCCAAAAACCTACGACACAGATCTGCTTCCGATCTATTTCGTCGAGCACCCGCCGAACAAACAAAGAAAACGTATACGTTTGGCACTCCCAGGTGTTAGCGCCCAAGCTTTCCACGAACGGAACACTGGTTTTGCATCATGAGACCGGCAGATCTGGATGGATCCCCATTTGGGGGCTCCCCTTTTTTGGGGGAACCCTTTCGAAGGTGATCCTGGAGGTTTAACCGGTCCGGTCTCAAGATCGCTCCGACGCGCAGGGACCCGTGTCCGTGTCCGGAACCTGCGACGGGATCCGAACTCATCGAACGACTCGATCTGCTGAGGTGCCAAAATGTTCAGGGCCACTGCTGTTCCAGCTTTGTCCTCTTCCTTGGGAGAGTTGTTCGGACCCAACCAGTTGGGGGCGAAGAAGCGTGAAGACAAAGGAGTGCTGGTGCTGGAAGGACTTGGGGTCTGTGACTTATAAACATCATGAGCTTGAGCACCTGGAATGGGGACAACCATGCCAAGCACCCCAACAAAAAAGTGTGCGAGTATCATTCCGAACAAGGGAACATGCTTCGGTTCTTGCCAGCCTGGTTCTGGCGTTCTTCCGGATCTGTGTTTATCCAGCTTGTTTGAAGATTTCCTTCTTAGAAACGGTCTGAACTTGTGAGAACAAGTTCATCCTCTCGTCTGCACAGAGCTCGGACACTCCGTCGGACGACTGCCTGACTGCCATCGGATGGCACGGTGTCCAATAAACAAGGCATTATTTTACATCAAAAAAAGACACAAACACATACCAGGACCCTCCGACTGGTCACCAATTGAGACCTGTTAGGGTCCAACAACCCTCAACTAACAGCCTGGCCAGGAGGGTGCTGGTATATGAAAAAATGTATGGTGATTACTCTTCTATCCCGGGGGTCTGTATATATACTTGAACACACACACACACTCTCTCGCTCTCTCGATGGGCTATATGGGTCGCTTGGCGTGCTGACTCGAAGACTGGCAACCGACGTGTTTTTGAGTGTGTATAAGGAGAGCCCCTGGCCGCTGGGTAGATTGGCCCATTTGGAGACACACTTACTGTTGTTTGGAATTTCCAAGTACCTTCCGATAAGGTATGTGGATCGCCAGCTTAAATTTCCATCGCCTCCATCAATCCACACTGTGAAAAGATTCAATGACCAGACCCATCAATCTACCTAGCCATCTAACCAGGTTTTAACTACCGCCTAATGCTTCTAAATCTTGCAGCAATTCTAAATACATCCAAACTGTCTTGAAAACGTATCCAAGCCATTCCAAGCTTCCAATAAGGTCAAGGCCCCCATGACCAGCTCCACGATCTCTGCCAGCTTTTCCAAGTTGGGCTCCACAAGTACCTGCGCTGCAGCCAGCGCCAGGGAGGCATCCGCCACCTGCTGCGCGCTGCCCGCGTCACGTGCTGCTTGCAAGGCTGCCTCGCTCGCACCGTGTTCCCCCGTGGTCACGCCGTAGGTCTCGCAAGGGTTAAGGAGAACGAGATGGTGGCAAGAACGCCGGTCTTGGTGAATGCAAGAACGCCGGTGTTCTGCAAAGAACTGGGAATGCTGAACCCCAAAACCATGCGCTACAAGCGCAACCCAGCAACAAGGAATGGAACCATGGCAAACAAATGTTTAAACATTGTCATGGAAAAAGAATTGTTGCCTACTCTGTCATACTATATATATATATACATTATGCCCTGATCACTGTCCTGATCATTTGTAGGCCGAAACAGGATTTGGACCTGTTGTGCTATCCCAAAGTCCTCAATTGGTCGAAAGTCGAATCTTGCTTCATCCGAGTGTGGACGCAAAGAGGCAAATTCCGTGGCGACAACCCCATGCCATACTTGACGTAAAATGCTCTGTAGTCTTGGTCAAACTCTGAAAGCTCCCAATGTGTACCATATGTTTCAAACATCCAGCAGGCACATCAACATGTATGCTTGTTGTTGCATTCAACTCTGGTGTTTTTGGCCACATTGGGCCCAGCAACCCTTCCCAAGGTTCCACTTTCGCATCAACAATTTGACTCCTAGTATCATCTATAGTCATACCATATCAAAGAGTCTTCCTTTGGTGTATCAGGGTTTGTCCCTGCAACTAACTAGATATCCTAAACATAGAAATAGCTTAAGCTTAAACGCCTCACGGCACACGATCGCACAGGACGGCACACGGGGGCCTGCGCTTTGGTGACGTCGAGGTCAAATGCGCTGGCTTTGGCTCCCACCAGCTGCTCCAAGCGATTCGTCAGCGCTAAACTAAGCACAGGCAACGTGGAGCCTCAGGCAACATCACTACATGGGGATAGTGCTCGAATAATGACAGCTGGCCTGTAGCCCTGAGTGCGGCCACCATTGCAGGTCTGACCACCTTCCTTCAAAAAGAAAACACATGAATCTCCAACTGTTTGTTAAGCCCACGCTTAATAACAAAAAGACAGAAACTTGACTAATCATGACGAACCTTCTATTTTTGCAGGCTTCGGAATCGTGAACATTCATGAACAACCGATGGTTTCGGATATCACTTGGAGGTCTTGGACTCAAGAGAATGACCAAAACCACTGATTGGATCGGCCAGCCATCAAGATCTAGGTTGCTCATTGCACATAGGGTCCGGCCATTGGTTTTATCTGGCTAAAATGGAGGGTAAAGAGGGGATGGACCATCAAGTTGCTGCGGTCTCGGGGCTGAATTCACACAGCGTCATTGCAGTTGCTCGGATCATTCTGGCCCCGATCTCATGGTCTCGACCTTTAGCTTTGAAGTCCCCAGCATACCGGGCATACCAACTCAGAATTCGCCATGGTCCTTCACCATCGTTCCTCGGTCCCATGGATGTCGAAACCCACCGAGGCACCCTCAGCAGCAGCGAACTTCTTAGCCTCGAAAGAAGCGAGTCGTGCACTCTTCAGTAGGGGGGTAGGCGAGGAGATGGACAACATGTTTGCCATGGACATTCCCTAAGAATCCGAGCCCTCAAACAGATAGGGTTTGGTTCGGCCCCAGACCCCTGCGACTAGGATTCTTAGGGTTATACTTATACCAATGTGTTTACATTAAATGTTATATACATGTTAATACATTAAGTAGTTTCCCATTTTAAAACCAATGTCTTGAGATCGACCACATGTGTTTTTTCCAAAATATGGTTCAACCCAGGAGTCACAAGACGGGGTGCCGAACTTGGAGGCTTAGGGACTAAACACCACCACCGGAGACCTGTTGGAACGACTGCGGTGGAGATGGCCGTGGAGACTGTCCTGCATCACACCATGTCACACCACACGAAGGTCGTGGATTTGCCAAAGGTCGTGGGTGCGGAAACGCTCAACCTCAAGCCTACCCGCAACAGCAACAACAACAACACCACCAACAACAGCAACAGCACCAACAGCACCAACAGCACCACCACCACCACCGCCACCACCACCACCGCCACCACCGCCACCACCCCCACCGCCACCACCACCACCACCACACCCACCACCACCCACCACCACCCACCACCCACCACCCACCACCCGCCACCCGCCACCCACCACCC